AATCGTTTTTAATTAAATTTATTCTATTTCTCTCTTCTCGCCACTTTAGATTCATTATAGAAAAAACTTTCAGTGAAAGCTGAAGTGGCAGGAATGGAGAGTAGGTAAGAAATATTTTTTTTTATATTTGGTAAGCTATCAGATGCATTTTTAAGTACATATTGCCATTTTTCTACTGCACTTTTCACTGCAAATTCTTTATCATTATTTGTGAATTTTCTTTGGATTTCTTTAAGTCTTATAGATTCGGAATACAGATCGTCCAACTTAATATTTAATCTGTCTTGTAATTTGGCCTTTGTAATAACCATTTCAAAATGTTCAAATTTTACCTCATTTCTCAAAGACATGTTAGAAAGTATTGAAAGCTAGTCATCTTCGCTAAAATCAAACCATTTTATCGTATAATATAAGCTCATATCAATAAAAAGTGAAAAGTTACTGATACCTGTATTGAATGTTTCGGGTGATGACTTTTGAATTTTTTGTAATCTCATTTTTGATTCATAACCAAAGTACTTATCAGTTTTTCTTTGTTCTAATTCGTTTCTTAAATTATCCATAATATTATAGACATCTAGATATCTATCATCATCAAACTTTTTTTAAATCATCTCGTCTACAAGCAGATACCGAAAAATGACTGTATATTTTTAAAACAATATTTTCTATGTCACAAATCAAGTAGCCCATAGCATGTTTTGACATCTGACATCTAATAGGCCTTTCCGATTCACGCCAACAGCGCTGTCAGCGCCAATAATCCGTTCCGAATCAACCGTAAGCACGCTGATGACAACGCTAACGCTGTCCATGGTCGCGAGCGTAATCACTGTTGGTGCTGTTGGCGTGAATCGGAAAGATAGGTAACATTTCGTTCAGCAATTATAAATCGTTAAGTACCCATGATGAGTATGTTTTACGCATCACAGTAAAGGTTGAAAATAAAGTATTTTTTGCATACTTTATTTGTATGTAAAAGTATAAAGTATAATTACCAAAAATAAAGTAGGATACGTTATTATAAAGTATGGTTGGCAAGCCTAGTTACGAGCTACTAGTACTACGGCGTGCAGTGACAGATAATTTTAATTTTTACTGACGCTAATATAAAACTATAAAAATTAATAAGAATGAAATATTACGATATCTGAACCGTATGGCACGTCGAGAGTCGACTTAACGATGATTGTAATAATTTTTATAGTTTTCTATTAGCGCTGATGATTGTAGAAATTCTAACTCCTGTGTATTGTTATGATAAGCGAATGTAACTTTATGAAGGCAAAGCACGAACGAATTAACAGTACAATTATCATAATGAAGCTATGTGATCGCATATTACAATGAATTAATTTCCTACTTGATTTACATGTAATCTTGGTCGAGAAGTGTACAAGGCGACGCAACGTTTGTGATGGACGGCTCGAGCATACCAATTTTTTATATGGTAGGAGGTAACGGATCTACCGCTATTTCTGTAAGCCTATGATAGTAAGCAGTTAGACCTGGTTCAATGCAGTCAATAATCATACCTTAGGGATGTATTATATTCTAAGACTACCAACGATCTGTTAATGTAGCGTCATTTAGATTTTTAAAATAATCATCATGGACCATTTATTTTACCGATTTTTCCATTCAGCAAAAAAATAAATAAATGTGACAAACTGTGCACATAGTATTACCTGATAATAAGTGGATGCTGTGTGCCATAGACATTTATTTACATCTATCCATTAAGATTAAAAATGCGTTTGTCAATCCTAAGGTTTAATGTAAAATACCTCATTTCCAGTAAAAAAAGTCTTCCCCTTTTTGGCATTCATTACTGATTATATTAATCGTTTCAATATTTTTGATGTGGTGTTTTTTAATATCCATAATGTGAATTAATATATTTTTTGTTACCCATTAGTAATAATTCCTAACAGCTGCTGTAAGAGACTATTGTTATGTTTCAATGGTTTGGTTCCTATTCATCTATTATTACACAAAAAAGCTCCCTTGCTGTGAACTGATTATATTATTAGAGATTTTATAATATTCTATTCTTTATTGTCGTTTTGTTCACACTGATATATCCCATGTGTACTTGTTATTGTTAACACATAAATATTACTATTTTGTACTTGAAATCATAGAATTTGTGTTCTGCGTATTTAATAAAAAATAAGGTAAAAAATGGCCAGTTAAAAGACCTACTTTTGTTATGGATTTCATAAAAATGGATTACCGATTTCTTCTTTGGCGGTTGATCTTTAGTTGGGGTTTACCGTTACAATAGGCCTACCCCATAGATTGCCTCATAAGGGGATATTTCCTTAGTTGCCATGTTTGGCAAGCGCGTTGGCAACCACATTTTTTATTTTCAGTCGTTATTAGGAAGGCAACTGCCCATCTCCTGATTTGCTTGCCTCTGTCGACTCTTACGACACCCACGGGATGATATGGAGCTTATGGGGTAGTGGATATTCTTATACCGCCGCTACAAGGTAGTGTTAGGATTTGGTGTTGCGTAATTAAAACCGATCTTTCTTACCTTACCGTACCATACCATTACACACTTTGAAGTAGACGTGCGTCGTTACGTCATTTTCAAGAAACGTAACGAAACCAGTGACTTGATCGGCGTCACCTGTTTCAAAACTAGTGATTTTTTGTAACTGGCTATTTTTATTCGGTTACTGTGATTGTTTGCATAAATATCACCACCAACTATACAGTTACACACGAAACGAAAAAAAGACGTGTGGCACTCGGGGACTGCCGCGGTAAAGCTATTGCATAGCATTTTTTATCAACTTATGCAATTATAATTAATTATTTATTTTATTTATGCAGTTAAGTCTTTGATATTAAATCAAGTTACACTTTTTGAGCATGGTGACGGATAAGAAAACAATTTTTTTTCTCTTATTGTATAAATGAGAAGTTAATATTGTTTGCCATTTGCGTTTGCCGCGCTTTGTCTCGTCACAGAGTGGCGAAATCACAGTAATATAGGTATTTTATAAACAGCACCTGTCTAATATTATGAAATATGTAGATAAAACTTAAAACTTACCTTGATAAATGTATACCCTTTTGTTTGTAATATTTTTTTAGACCTCTCTTCAATCGTTTCTGCTTATTCCCCATGTTTTACAAACTAAACTTAAACATTAATAAAACTGTACAATTAATATAACTATAAAACACTACTATTAAACAAGAATCAGAAAAAACCTACTCCACTATTAACAAAATTAAATTTTTGCAGTAATATTTTACGATTTTATTTCGTAGTGCTGAGCTCTCGCAACGCGGCGTACGTCCACCTAGCAACACGATGCGCCCCGCACTGAAGGGGGGTGATATAGACGCAGTATTTAATCGGGACGCATTTTTAATTTATTATCATAAAAATAATACATATTTCTAAAAAGTAACCAAACCAAATTATTTTATTTTGTATTGCAAAGCAGTAGATATTTTTTTTATATTCCTTTGATAAACAATGAAGGAGTAAAGTGGTTTCATCTCAACGATTTGGAGGTGATTTGGGTATTTTTTTATTTATTATGTGACACCGATAGAAAAATTATGGCTAAACCAAATTACGTATCAGATCATGTAGATTACTAGCTATTTTTTTCATATGTAATTTCTCTGTAAGTGTCGACGAAAAGTTGGTTCATCTGCACGCTTTTTTTCAAGCTTTTTGCGAGAGAGCAGCCTTAATAATAAATGCACTTTGTTCATTCATATTCAAAATTTCAAAACACTTTATACACAAACACCGTGTCGAAGACTGAGGAAAAGAAACGACGTTAGACCATCGTTAGACAATGCACGGCCTTCAAGCCACACCTCCGTGCCCCTCGGAGAGCGTGAGGTTTTTTTCGTTACGAAATTTCTGGATTTTCCCGCACTCAAGGCCCGCGATAGAAGCTATGCAATAGCTTAATAAATTTAATCACAATCTGTGTTTGTAGCTATACAATTAAATCAATGAATTAACTTCCCTTCCTACTTTATTCAGGTTTAGGACTGACTGCATTAAATGTATTTATGATTGATTTGCGTTTATTATGATACTAAGATTTTCATAAAATTATTAATGCAGGCGTATTTAGAAGTCATTTTGATTGTATATACAATGATTATTGATATTTAGGCCCTGTCCGCACTGCCATATTTCACCGCGCGATTTTTATTCTCGCGTATTATATTCCGTGATCGGAATTACACTTATTACGCACTGCGAATAAAATTTCGTACGATTTTTGTCAGTTCGATGCAGTTCCCGATTGAGACGAACGTCTAAAATGAATAAAAGAAAATTTTTAATTTACCTGATACTACGGCGGCGGCGGCGTGACAAAACTATCGTAAGATGTCATGAACATTGGATTCACCCATTTACGGCCTTGAGACCTATGAAAGGATTTTTCTACATAAAATATCAAGAGCTGCGAGAATATAATAAAAAGTTTTTCGGATATTATAGAATGACTACAAAATCATTCGATAATTTACTACTACTAGTTGGTCGGGCTATTACCTATCAAGATACGAATTGGAGAAAAGCTATTTCAGCTGAAGAGAGACTCTCGATAACTCTAAGGTAAGATGTTCCATTCTTATAGGTACTAGGTACAGCCTGCACAGCAGTGTAAGCTAAAATATATCTAAGCATTTTATAAAAGTCAATCTTATTAAAAGAAAGAGCACCTTTCTTTTGATTGTTTCTTCGAAACAATTGAAAGTGCACCTTAATTTCTTTGAGCTCAGTTTGATTTTTATCAAATGCTTAGATGTATTTAATGCATCTCTGTCATTTTGGCGCTGATAATACCATTTATTTTAAATTTTCACTTTCTCTTAATTTATCCCCCCCCCAGCCCCCCCCTCCCATTTGATATTGTAACATTCCAAAGTATATTTAATAACTGACGGAGGTAAATAAAAACAAGGTTTAACCATACAGTATCATTTATTTATAAGCAATGTAACTTTTATTTAAATAAAATATAATCTTTCATGTCAAAACCATTCCCCTCTACTACGAATGTAGAATGATTAAATGAAGTATTTGGAAAATTTGACAGCGAGTATTGGGATTGAGGAGACGGATCAGGCGGAGATTGAGGAATGACAGTTGGTTTACGAGATGGTGTGTATTGGGTTTGAGGAGACGGATCAGGCGGAGATTGAGGAATGACAGTTGAATTACGAGATGGTGTGTATTGGGTTTGAGGAGGCGGATCTGGCGGAGATTGAGGAATGACAGTTGAATTACGAGATGGTGTGTATTGGGTTTGAGGAGACGGATTAGGCGGAGTTTGAGGAATGACAGTTGGATTACGAGATGGTGTGTATTGGGTTTGAGGAGACGGATCAGGTGGAGATTGAGGAATGACAGTTGAATTACGAGATGGTGTGTATTGTGTTTGAGGAGACGGATCAGGCGGAGATTGAGGAAAAGATGGTGAGTATTGGTAAATTTGGGGAGAAGGAGATTGACGGATAGTATTTGAGTAGGGTGATGGCGTATTTGGGTTGTAAGATGAATACGATGATGATGATGATTGATATTGAGACATAGCGGATCTGACTCTAGGCGGTATAAAATTTTGTGGTGAATATTTAGTTGCTCTGGTAAGTGCATTCAGAGTTTCAATTTTAGCGTAATGTTTCTGGTCTGTTGAGAGATTCTTGAGCATTGGTATGATCATTTCACAAAATGAAACATCCTCATCATAAGTTTTATCCTGAAATAATTTCAATAACTCATCATCGCTATTATTCAGAATTTTAGTCTTTTTTACGCATGCTCGTTTTAAGTCTTCTATTTCGTGAAGCTTCTGTGTCAGTTTCTTCGTCGGATTGATTTGTAAGGTATTCGGCATTACTGTTAGTGCTTTCTATGTCTTTAATATTATTTGTCGTATCTCTCATTGATTTTTGAGTGGCTAAAAATGAAAGTGCTCCCATGTGTATGTATGGTCTTTTTTTTTCTTTGCGGCTTGACCCGAAACTACCTTTTTTATCAGCTGCCACCTCCTTGAAGTATGTATCTTTAAGAATTTTTCCATTTTTTTTGCACATCAGCTCCTGTAAAAGAAAATAAAATAAGGTAATTGTTGTGTAGATAAATAATAAACTATAATTTGTTTGAATTTTATATTATTGGTGTTACATATTTTGCTGTAATTATAGCAGGTACTTGGCTTCAGGAAATAGCTACTATTCGCTTTATTACGAATATCTAATTGGTATCTCTACAATTGGTAAAATTATAGAAGACACGTGTGAAAGACTATGGTCTTGTTTACAATCTTTATACATGCCAGAACCAGATGAAAGAACTTGGTCCCATACTGCCGAACTTTTCTATAAAAGAACCCATTTTCCACATTGCTTGGGAGCGGTGGATGGAAAGCATATAAGGTGCGAAAAGCCTAATGGCGCGGGTTCTGAATTTTATAATTATAAACAATATCATTCCTTAGTTTTAATGGCGGTGGCTGATGCAAATTATTATTTCATCAGTGTTGACATAGGTGCTTACGGTAGCAGTAGTGACTCTACCGTTTTTAAAAAATTCTGCATTTGGAAAGAAGCTTGAAGGTGGTCAGTTAATACTTCCAACACCAACTTACCTACCAAAAGATGAAAATGGGGAAAAAATGCCTTATGTTTTTGTTGGAGATGAAGCGTTCGCTCTCTCAGAACACATAATGCGACCATACCCCAGAAGAAACCTATCTGTAACTCAAAGAGTTTTTAATTACAGACTCACACTAGCAAGAAGATTTGTAGAATGCACTTTTGGCATACTTACTAATAAATGGAGAATTTTACATCGGGCTTTAGATGTAAAACTAACAACTTGTGACCAAATAATTAAAGCATGTTGCATTTTACATAATTACGTACGCAAACATGATGGAATTCGGTTTAAGGACAAATTGTATGGGACCGAGTTACAAAGTTTGCGCCCTACTCCTGTGAGATCTAGAATATCCAGCATTGAAAATAGACAATATTTTGCAGAATATTTTGATTCACCGAAAGGGTCAATTCCATGGCAATATGAAAAAATATAAAATATAAACGTCTACCCATATTATAGGTATATATTCTATATAAAACTACAGACCAACAAAAAATCTTTGATTATATACATGTCTAGATGGACACATTGACCGTACCGAACGGCTCGAAAAAAGTGTACTATAATTATTGGTAGACTCGCTTCTCACCTACGCCAGTGTCATTTGAGTGACCTATGGATAATAAGCTCACGAAAAATAATTAATTATGCCGGTTTGTGCTATCAAATTGTATCGCAATTACGCGGGAAGTAAAGAAGTAAATTATATTATTTAACTACTTTATTTTAAGAAAACACAGTTTTTTAATTCGTTACTGTTTAGGTTGGTCTAATTAGCTTGTGTTGCCAGTTTAATATTAGGGAAACTTAGCGAAACTATGGGAGACACAACTTTTTGTAATTTTTAAACATTTTGTTAATGAATAAAAATATTTTATTTTAATAATTATTTATTTATCTTTGTAAATCATAAAAAGATGCAGTAGTACTTATAAGATTTTGTTTGTTTAAAAAAAATTAAAAGAAAAATATTTGTAATTATGTTTATATTTTTTATTTTTACTAAATTAAATAAAACACTAATCTACGAAATAGTTACTTTATTTAACCTATTTTGTTTAAACTACACCTTATTAAATAATGGGGAAAAGTTAAGTTAATAATTTGGAGCAAGTATCCCTAAACACGCACATCTTGACAGTTTGACTACAATAAGTACACGAGCGGTACTCACACATATCACGTAATTCGGGCCGGTTTTTTGCGCGAAGTTTGTTTGCATTGCTCAATATACATGTAGGTATATAATCGAAGGTTATAAATAAAAATATTTAATTTGTAAACGTCATTAAATTAAAAAAAATACTTTATATTTACCTTTTTTGTTTTCTTTTTCAACAACACTGCATTGTTCCCAACTAAAATATATGTCTTGATATATTTCCTCCCACAATCTCGCCTTCAATATTCTGTCGTGGTACTTTGGATTAAATTTGTCCCACAGGGGAGATCTCCTGTGCATCAACGTGATTAATTGCTCAATATCAATGTCGTCGTTTTCTAACTCCTCTGCGGCTCCCGATCGGGCGGGAGACGAAGCGCGCGACATCCTGCCAATAGCGCCAGTACACGACTGAGCGAAACGCGCGGATTTTATTTTGCAGTGCGGCCATAGCCATAAGTAGTACAAAACATTCGCGCGGAAATAAATCCGCGCCGCATCGCGTTCAATTTGCATCAAATCACAGATTTTTTTTTCCGCGTGATTTTTTTACCGCCAGTGCGGATACTCCTATAAGATTCAATGTGTTACAGAATTGCGAGAATAGAAACGTGCGGTGAAATATCGCAGTGCGGACAGGGCGTTACACTTTTTCAACGTTTTCACTATCATTTGTTTTTGCACTTTTATTTACACTGTACAATTAATTTGTTTGTTTGTTTGGCTATTTACGCACAGTTTTTAAGTTTTATAATATTATAAACATTAAAATTTTTAAATTTTTTATACACATTTTTTTAGTTTTATTTTAATTTTATGAATAAACGAGTTCATGACTCCATCAAAAATGTTTAAAAAAATATTTTAGTTAAATTCAATGTGACTCGTTTCCCGGAATCGCAAACCCTTGAAATTATTTACAAACAGAGATTACTCTATTTTATTGTCTATGTCTATAGTCTTACGTATGAAAATTAAACGTACAATACTGTTACAAACGATGTTTTGTTTATTGTTGTATGCCACGTGTGCGCTTTGCGCTCGACCGACCGACAGTCGACTCCCGTAATAATCATGGTTAACAGTAATCATAATCACGCATTTACAAAAATCACTACTTGTAACGTAACTCGAAACTAGTGATTCGGTTACATGCCGTGTAGCCAGTTACTGTATCTAGTGACGTGAAATAACGCCCACGTCTACTTTGAATTTGAAGGTCCACTGCTGAATATAGACCTCCCCCATAAATTGCCTCATATATTTTGCGATAGTTGTAGCGAGTTATCAGCCGTAGTTTGTTTTATTAGTTTTGAGTTCTTTTTTTTTCTTTTTTTTAAAACGTTAACTAGGGGTTTTAGGTAGGACTCGACCAGGGAAGGACCACATTCTCACAGAATACCAGCGTAAAATAGCAGCTTAATGTTGCTGTGTCTCGTATGGTGAATGAAGCAACTGGAATCGAGGTATTCCATCTAAGTCCTCAGGGGTTGCTTCAGCAAAACGCGATAAAGATTTCATGGCACCAGATAAATGACGCCATCACCATATCGTATAGAGGTACTGGTGACCTTTTTTACCGTCTGGAAAAAATAGGGTGTAACATGTGAACGGAGTAGAAGCCTATGGCACTGGTATTTTACAAAAAATAAATGGAATGGAAAATAAATGGAAATGGAAGTAGGCATTTTTACATGTATGATGCAAGGAAAAAAAATGAAGCCGTACCATACACTGGCGTAGATCTTTCTCACTTATGCGGTTTGTACTGCGTTCAGTTCTATATAATTCACAGAACGGTTGTGGTCACCGATCAAAAAATATTTTTTTAAATTACTATTTAACTCAGTATTACCCATTTTATTTTATAAAAAAGGAATGGAAGCGGCTCACCTGATAGTTAGTGGCTACCGCCTGAACTACCGCATGAACAACTACGACAATTTTTAATTATATAAATTAATTAATTATAATAAAATCTATTGAAATTCAAATCATATACACCCTAGCCTGTGACCATGCAAAGTTACAAGGTCAAAGATGCCTACTTTTATTGTTTTATTGCCGTTCGTCAAGTTCGTAAAGTAGATTATATATAGAGTATATGTAGAGTAAAATTTTTGTTTTAATTTTTTGTAAAATATCAGTGCCATAGGCTTCTACTCCGTTGACATGTTCAAACCTATTTGTTTCCAGGCAGTAAAAAGGTCATCCAATATACCTCGTAAATAAAACAGGGGACTGCGTTTATTATAGCAAAATATCCCTACGATGGAAGGGCTATTTATAGCTGTGGACTATTATGGGCTAATAAATCAAAAAAGAAAATATAAAGTTGTAAAGTCAGTCTTTCCATCTTAAAAACAATCTTTCAATAAGTAAGAAAACTGATCTGAACACACGGTCAGATCAACTGATCATTATAAGTGATGAATTCAAATTAAAACTGTTGATATTTTTTAAAATAGTGGCTTTTCAATATATCGATCGTTATAAATATATTAATGTCGGAGTTTTACATATAAGATTTATGGATATATCAAAACTCCGATATTTTAAAAAATAGTATAATCCGATATTTTAGTTTGAACTGATCACTTGGAATGATCAATTTAACAGACTGTGTGTGGCCACCATAAGGCAGTGTATCAAATAATTGAGACAGACTTTAGAAGCTATTGAATAATTATGTGTTTTAAAGATTATTATTTACAGTATGTGAAGCTGGCTTTTAATTTTTATTACAATATTAATTTTATATCGTTTTGAGTTGTCAAACAAATATTACAATTTCACAACAACAATTAAATCTCGTAAAAATAGTTACATAAAAATTTTCACCCCCTATTTTCTCACCCTTAGGGATGTAATTCTTTCTTCTAACTTATATCGGACCCGCTATTTCTCAAAAATTGGTGAATATACATAAAAATATAAGCGTCGACTATAGAACCTCCTCGTTTTTTGAACTTGGTTTAAAGAAAGCATAGGCGTCGTATAAAGAACTATGTTGAAAATAAATCGAGCTTTTTCTGTTGAAAATAGGACCGTGAAAAAAACTTCAAGCTAGACAAAAATCTGCGTCTATTATCGTACATACTCTCGCAAGGTTAGATTAGGTCATCCGTCTGTCCATCGCGACGTCTCACCGTTAAATTTGTCAATTGTGCTATTGCTATAGCCTCTACGCTATTTTCGACGATTATCGAACGTCAGATGCCTTGCAATTTTTATACGGTCGTTTGTGATATCCTTTATCCTTGGTTTAGTCTTCTTAAATGAGATAATAAACAATCTAGAAACTAATAAATAACTTGCATTAGTTTTATCTTTATAATATAATCATTGGTGCGTCAGTCCCGGAGCGGCACTTGCATGATAATATCAAACGTGAAGTTGTTTGTGTATGGTTCACATGGAAATAGGCATTTTTACATGTACGCAGAAGCACAAAAAACGAAGTCGTACCATACACGGGCGTAGATCTTTCTCACTTATGCGGTTTGTACTGAGTGCAGTTTTATATAATTCACAGAACGGTTGTGGTCACCGATCAAAACATTTTTTTTAAATTACTATTTAACTCAGTATTACCCATTTTATTTTATAGAAAAGGAATGGAAGCGGCTCACCTGATTGTTAGTGGCTATCGCCTGAACTACCGCATGAACAACTACGACACCAGTGAAAAAGAAGTTGCGTTATCAGCCTTTTATAATTGGAAAGGCACTTTACTAGAATTTCTTTTCACAATTCCTTCGTAGCATTTCTATCCTTATAACTTGCATTTGTCTCACATATCCCAATATACAAGACAATGAGAAGATTTTATGACGATTGAAACAGAAACAGAAACTTTTTTATTCAATGTAGATTATAACAATACTATTTGAAAGTCACTTTTTTCATTTACCACTGGTTCGCAAAAAAAAAACCTCTGTCCTGGGAAGAACCAGCAAGAAACCCAGCGGGACTATTTTTTTTCCAATAATAACTTAAAAATTATTAAGAAACTAACTATCTATTTGTTTTTGCGTTAAAACTCCATGATAATTTTTTGGCGTTAAATTATTACGACCGTGCTATGGCTGGTTTGTCAATGCGCGCGTGTGTGTGTAAATGAATTCGTACTTCGCATCACACCATTATACCGGTGGCTGCCGTGTCGGATTACCGCATTGATTTTTCACGGCTACTCACGATCACGGCACGGTCGCGGTATCGAGTGAATGTTCATAAAATGTATGTTAATGTCTACATTATTGAACAACCGGTACCGTTTATACGGAAACCGTATGCGTGTCTAGACCCAATTATCAAACGGCAACCAAGCATGCAGCGGTGGTGCATGGGCTGGTGTTAGCACGTTCACATATTTCACGATTGGGAGTCAGTGCGTCGGGACTTTTGATATGTCACAAAACTGACGTAAAGGTTTTATATCATAAAAATATAAAAATAAATATCGATAAAAAACGTCGTATTTCGTGTGATAATAAAGATACTGTTGTCATAAAAAGATAGGCGTCAGAAAAGATAAGCTTATAGATATGGGATGGAAACGGTGTTAAGTAATTAGTCCATGATTTTTAAGAGGAAACCTTGAAAATGAATCGAAGTTTTGGGGACATGGCTTATTCCTTTGTCGGTGAAGCTAACGGACGACTGAGGGAGTGTCAAAATGAAAGTGATGCAATGACTTCATAGTACGCAAATTATGAGATAGCCATACCGAGCAAGCGCTCGGTAAGCGCCAAACAACATTTTTATTTATTTTAACATTTGTGGATTAAAAAACTGGTTTATGAGAACTTAGATATGATTATTTACTATGCCGTAAAAATAATTCCATGAAGTTATTCGTAAGAATATTGTGGTCTCATCGAGAAATGTAAATAATTAGCGCCTATTTTGCAATTTTTTTCTATCGTGAAAATTAACATGACATCGTGTTTTCCTTTTATGCAATCCAAGGTCAGATAGTCAAAAATCGTATACCAAAGTTTTGGTTTGTAATCTATAAAACTTAAAAAAATATGTTAAATAGAAAAACCACCAAATTTTCGAGGTATCATCACCTTAAGTTGCATTTATTATGTCCAGCGATGAGGGATGCGGTTATTGGGAGTATACCGTGCACATGTGAAAGCGTTTGCACGTTAGGTACGGTACTGCGCTATTTATGCAGCAGTAGTCGCATCGTATAAGTTGCGCCCTCCTTTCTGCCAAGGAGGGTCGCGTTCTTATACGGCTTAGAGATCTCTAGTCAGATCGTTAAGCCATTTCCTAAAAGGCGGTGTTTAGTGAGTAAAAGTCTCCACATAACCACGCAGCCGGCTGCGTGGTATGCTATGAGCATTCACCGCCTCCCTCCCCCGCTTTTCGGAGGGTTGCCCATATTTGCTTCGGGCGCAAAAAAAAATCGTATAAGTTACAGAGAGATGTGCGATCCGTGCGCGGCGCCAAATTCAACCGGTTTGAACTTATCGCTCGTCGTACGATATCGTCGCTACGAT